AGAAAGAGAAGGAGAAAGAAGGAGGAGGGGAAGAGGAAAAAGGGGGGGGAGGGGGAGGAGGTGGATAGAGGAAAAAGTGGGGGGAGGGGGAGGAGGAGGAGGAGGCGGAGGAGGAGGAAAAAAGGGGGGGGGGAGGAGAAGGAGAGGAAAAGCAGAGGGGAAAGAGGGAAGCAGGAGATAATGAAGGAGGAAGAGAAACTAAATAACAACAAGAAGATAAAGACAAAGACAGAAAGTTAAAAGATGACGATAATAAAAAAGAAGCTAAAAAAACGATAAAAAAGAAGCCGAAAAAACGATAAAAAAAACGATAAACTGAAGTAGAAAAAAAAATATGGCGAATGAGAAAAATAAAAAAGGATTAAGATATGAAGTACAAGGACACGGACAGGAATAAGAAAAAAAAAGAAAAAAAAAAATCAGATACTAAAAGAGAAATAAAGGAAGAGAAGACAAGAGAAGAGAAGAGACTAGAGGACCATGAGTGCGAGGCGGATATAAAAATAAGAGAGAGATAAGAGATAAGGAAAAGGTGTGACGAAGCAGGAAGTTGTTGAGGAGGAAGTAAGGGGGGGGGGGAGATGTGGATGATGAAGAGGAAAGACAAAAGAATGGAGGCAGACTGGTGGCGTGAAATAATAAAGGAGCGGGGGGGGGGGTGGGGGAGAAGGAGGAGGGGGAGAAGAACGAGAATGAGAAGGGGGAGGGAGAGGGAGGGGGAGGGAGAGGAAGGGGAGGGAGGGGGAGTGAGAGGAGGAGGAGGAAGAGGAGGAGGAGGAGGAGGAGAACCAATAGGAGGAAGGAAACTAAGTCGAGGATGGGGAATAAAAAAAGGAGGAATAAGAGGGAGCAGGAATAAGAAAAATAAATAAATAAATAAATAAATAAATAAATAAACATAGATTAGAGGCCAGTATGGCGGGGGAAGAAGGAAGCGAGGAAGACCGCCCGGAGCAATATGAGAGCGGAGACTAACGCCCTTGCGAGGTCCACGCCCGCGAGAAATACGGCAATCTACGGCTCAATTTTCCCGTCTGTTTCAAATGCGTCCGGCCGTCTAGGGGGAGGGGAGGGGAGTGACGTCATACCAAACGTTTCTCCATCCTTTTCTCTTCCTTTTCTTAGACCAAACACCGAAGTTTTAAATCTAGGGAGGCCATAATTTCCAGAGCCGGGAAGTTTACGAAGGTCAGGCAAGAGGAAGGGATGTGTACAAACAAGGCCGTTTGCCCCCCCTCCCCTATCTTCCTTTCCTCCTCCTTCCTCCTCTTCTCCCCTTGCCCTCTCCTCCTGTAACTTCCCTAAATCTCTCCACAACCTTCCCTCCCTTTACTTCCCTCCTCTTCCTCCCCTCTCTTCGCCTTCCTATGACCTCGTCTTCCTTCCCTTCCCTTCCCCTTTCCTTATCCTCTACCCTTCCTCTTGTCCTATCCTTTCTCCACCATATCTTCCCCTCCTCTCCCTTCCCTTACCCTTCTCCCATCCTCAACCCTTTCCCTAACCCTCTCCCCTACCACCTTTTTCCTCCCTCCCCTTCCCTCCTCCACCCTTTCCCCCTTCCTCCTCCACCCTTTCCCCTCCTATCCCCTCTCCTTCCCTCCACCCTTTCCCCTCCTATCCCCTCTCCTTCCCTCCACCCTTTCCCCTCCCTCCCCTTCCCTGACCCTCTCCCCTACCACCTTTTTCCTCCCTCCCCTTCCCTAACCCTCTCCCCTACCACCTTTTTCCTCCCTCCCCTTCCCTCCTCCACCTTTCTCCCCTTCCCTCCTCCACCCTTTCCCCTTCCCTCCTCCACCCTTTCCCCCTTCCCTCCTCCACCCTTTCCCCCTTCCTCCTCCACCCTTTCCCCTTCCCTCCTCCACCTTTCCCCCTTCCCTCTCCACCCTTTCCCCCTTCCCTCCTCCACCCTTTCTCCCCTTCCCTCCTCCACCCTTTCTCCCCTTCCCTCCTCCACCCTTCCCCCCTTCCCTCCTCCACCCTTCCCCCCTTCCTCCTCCACCTTTCCTCCCCTTCCTTGGCAAAGTCGCGGTGCCCTTCTTACAAGACGGTACACTTGCTCGCCGTCTTTGGATTTCCGTCTGCCAGGATCATCATCATCAATTTTCCCGTTTCTTAACCCTACGGGAAGCTGCTCCCTCACGCCGCGTACGTACGTGTGTGTTATGGAAATGAATCTCCTCGTTCATACATACATACATGCATACATACATACATGCATATACATGTACATACATAGTTAGCTGCCACTGGGCGTCTCAGAGATAGGGTGGATTTTCTATTGTACTGAAAGTTGACCATAAATAAGACATAATGACGAATAAAAAGAGAAGCAAAAAGATAATTTCAAAAAAGAAAATGAAAGGGAAGAGGAGGGGGAAGTGGGGGGGGAAGAGGAGGAGGAGGAGGAGGAAGGAGGAGGAGGAGGAGGAGGAGAAACCAATAGGAGGAAGGAAACTAAGTCGAGGATGGGGAATAAAAAAAGGAGGAATAAGAGGGAGCAGGAATAAGTAAATAAATAAATAAATAAATAAATAAATAAATAAATAAACATAGATTAGAGGCCAGTATGGCGGGGAAGGAGGAAGCGAGGAAGACCGCCCGGAGCAATATGAGAGCGAGACTAACGCCCTTGCGAGGTCCACGCCCGCGAGAAATACGGCAATCTACGGCTCAATTTCCCGTCTGTTTTCAAATGCGTCCGGCCGTCTAGGGGGGGGGGGAGGGGAGTGACGTCATACCAAACGTTTCTCCATCCTTTTCTCTTCCTTTTCTTAGACCAAACACCGAAGTTTTAAATCTAGGGAGGCCATAATTTCCAGAGCCGGGAAGTTTACGAAGGTCAGGCAAGAGGAAGGGATGTGTACAAACAAGGCCGTTTTCCCCCCCTCCCCTATCTTCCTTTCCTCCTCCTTCCTCCTCTTCTCCCCTTGCCCTCTCCTCCTGTAACTTCCCTAAATCTCTCCACAACCTTCCCTCCCTTTACTTCCCTCCTCTTCCTCCCCTCTCTTCGCCTTCCTATGACCTCGTCTTCCTTCCCTTCCCTTCCCCTTTCCTTATCCTCTACCCTTCCTCTTGTCCTATCCTTTCTCCACCATATCTTCCCCTCCTCTCCCTTCCCTTACCCTTCTCCCATCCTCAACCCTTTCCCTAACCCTCTCCTCCTCTCCTCCCCTCCCCTTCCCTCCTCCCGTCCTCCACCCTTTCCCCTCCTATCCCCTCCCGTACCCTCCACCCTTTCCCCCTCCTATCCCCTCTCCTTCCCTCCACCCTTTCCCCTCCCTCCCCTTCCCTAACCCTCTCCCCTACCACCCTTTCCCCCTTCCTTCCTCCACCCTTTCTCCCCTTCCCTCCTCCACCCTTTCTCCCCTTCCCTCCTCCACCCTTTCCCCCCTTCCCTCCTCCACCCTTTCTCCCCTTCCCTCCTCCACCCTTCCCCCCTTCCCTCCTCCACCCTTTCCCCTTTCCTCCTCCACCCTTTCTCCCCTTCCCTCCTCCACCCTTTCTCCCCTTCCCTCCTCCACCCTTCCCCCCTTCCCTCCTCCACCCTTCCCCCCTTCCCTCCTCCACCCTTCCTCCCCTTCCTTGGCAAAGTCGCGGTGCCCTTCTTACAAGACGGTACACTTGCTCGCCGTCTTTGGATTTCCGTCTGCCAGGATCATCATCATCAATTTTCCCGTTTCTTAACCCTACGGGAAGCCGCTCCCTCACGCCGCGTACGTACGTGTGTGTTATGGAAATGAATCTCCTCGTTCATACATACATACATGCATACATACATACATGCATATACATGTACATACATAGTTAGCTGCCACTGGGCGTCTCAGAGATAGGGTGGATTTTCTATTGTACTGAAAGTTGACCATAAATAAGACATAATGACGAATAAAAAGAGAAGCAAAAAGATAATTTCAAAAAAGAAAATGAAAGGGAAGAGGAGGGGGAAGTGGGAGGGGGGAGAGGAGGAGGAGGAGGAGGAGGAGGAGGAGGAGAGGAGGAGGAGAGGAAGAAAAGGAAGAGAAAAGTAAAAGAAAACGGAAATGTCTAAATATATATATATATAAATAAAGAAGAAGAAAACAGAAGAAATCTTACCGCAATAATAGTTTCTAGACAACACAAGAGAAACGGGACGAGCTAACAACACAAGCAGCAAATGGAGAAGCACTTAAGTGGTCTACACAAAAAAGAATAAGAAAAACTTTGGCGTAGACGAGGAGAAACCTTACAAATGGGAAGGTACAGATAGGGGGAGATAAAAAGGAAGAGAGAAGAAAAAGGAAGAGAAGGGAAGGGAAGAGAGAGAGCGAGAGCCACAGAGAGAGAGAGAGAGAGAGAGAGAGAGAGAGAGAGAGAGAGAGAGAGAGAGAGAGAGAGAGAGAGAGAGAGAGAGAGAGAGAGAGAGAGAGAGAGAGAGAGAGAGAGAGAGAGAGAGAGAGAGAGAGAGAGAGAGCAGAGAGAAGGCGAATATAGGTCTACTTGGCCGAGATCTACGCTGGGAAGGTGCTCTTTAAAGAGGTTGACCAACATTTGTCACGTCGGGAGATAAAATCGATGCGCCAGTCCATTCAGGAAAACGGGACTGGGAATAGGCTTAGCCCTCGAAGGGTGAGGCGAAAGAGGGAAGGAGAGAAGAGAGAACGATAAACGGAGGAAAAGACGAAATAGCAGGGGGGAAGATAACATTAAAGAGAAAGGGAAATAGGACGGAAGTAGATATATAAAAGATGATAGAGGGAGGGTGAGAAGTTGGATAAAACGTTGGTGCATAAAGCACGAGGAAAGAAACAGTGAGAGGGAGGGAGGGGGGGGGGGAAGAAAGAAAGAAAATAAGGAGAGAGAGAGAGAGAGAGAGAGAGAGAGAGAGAGAGAGAGAGAGAGAGAGAGAGAGAGAGAGACAGAGACAGAGAGAGACAGAGAGAGACAGACAGACAGAATAAAAAAAGACAAAAGTAACAGTTAATAAACACCTAACAAAAAAAGAAAACCAACCAACTTAC